AAATAAAATTTTAATCAAAAGCACTTTTTATTGTACTTAGGTCAGAATTTTCACGTGAACTAAGAACGTGTTGAACAAAACTCAGTTCATTTTAGTTACATTTAGCGTAAAAGTCGCTTTTAAATTTTTGCTTTATAAGTCTGAAAATATTCTACTTATTAATCAACGGACTTAAAAATATTTTTGTTAGTCTCTTCATTTCTACTGTTTTATAAATTTGAATCTTGCTGCAGTAGAAATTGCCATCCCTTTTTAGGATTTAAAGCCATCACAAAACAATTATACTAATGATCTGATGATAATAATTTAACTCACAAAACGTCTGTGGCTACTAGGCTTTAATGATGTTATTCGATTGTCTGTCCGTCGCGTCGGCTTCGTTCCTCAATTCTCATTACATTACAAGCTTGTTTTAAAAATTAATAAATTCATAATTTAAAAATCATTAATGATTATAAATATTTAAAAATTCAACATTGTCACTGCTGTGCGATATATACCGCAACTGTGGTCACTACCTCACAACTACTAAATCTGCAAAAATAAATTTGTCGAAGAAAACTGATAATACTGTGCATCACTTTTAGGAAATTATATTTCTTTGAAAAGTTTATATTTTTTAAATACATTGTAATGTGAAATACACATTAGATTACATAAAAGCACTTTTGAGAAAATTACTATTTTTGAATAAAAAATTAATGACTCAATTACCGTTACAGTTAAATTCGAATTTGGTCGAATATTTAGGTATATCTAACCTGTACTAATTAATAAAAATATTAAGACACGAAGTTTGTAAAAAAAACCGATTGATTCTCTGTGGAAGATTTATTTTCGATACTTGCAATGTTTAGACGCGATAAATAAGTATAGGGCTATAAGAAGTTAATAGTCTGTAGTCAGTTTTTACGTGTTGGTTGATTTTAAAAAATAAAAAAAGTTTTTAGTCGTACCATATTTATAATATAACCTTTAGCTGATGACGATTATTTTAACGAAGTGTTTTTATATTGACGAAGTCATACCAATATTTACAAATGTTCTCTATAAATAACTGTCAAAATATTACTAAATTTATTACAAAAAAAAAGATGTCTTTATTGACTTAGTGCTATGTTTTCATGAATTAGTTCCTTTTGATTAAAAATTACTTTGCAATTTTTGAGTAAATTTTGACGAATATTTACTTTTTGTCTATTTTTGGTTTAGCCTGAAATATTTTGTGTACATACTCGATTTTGAAAGCGATTTTTTTATTGAAATTTGAACTTCAACTGAACGCTTGCATGGAAAAAACGATTTATTAAATCACTGTCTTTTTCAATATTGCAAAAGAACATTTATTACTGTAATTTAATTTTTCTGCAAGTTATGCAACACTTTCAATAGACATTATCTATATAAAATATCAGCAGTGCGTATTTCAGTAGCCGCGTACATACACTATGATTACAATTAACACCGTCATGATGAAGGTTTAATCCAAGGTAATTTAGTTTGCCCTTACATACAGTCAATTATATAGATAAAACATAAAAGGAAGTCGTATGTTCTCTGTTAAAAAAATTAATATCTGAAAAAGCAAGTAAAGAAGAGGTGCGTGCAGAAATGTCAACGCCTACAGTAGCATTGCATGCTTAAAGGCAATAATATTTTAATGTCTTTCTGCAATATGATACACGGTACAACTGTAGGAACATCACGAATGGTTTTTGTAGCCATTAACAATAAAGCAATTTTTTAAAACACAGCGATGGAAATGGAAATAGAGGCGAACTCGTGGATTTGAAAAAGTTGTATTGTGGTGACGATAGAATTTATAAATTCTAGAAGTAAAATACTACAACATTTATAAAATAGTTGAAGTGGGCTTGAATATTTATACGGATTGTAAATAACACAATTTTCGAAAGACATGTTTTGGCTTTGGTTAAAATTTTCAGTCGCATTATGTATTCAACGTCTAGTGCACAATAATAGAGACGTATTTATAACGTGATGATCGAAAATGAGTGAATATGTCACATTATTATTACGGAAGCAAATATTTTGTAGCTTTTTGACATCACTATCCTTAACTACTTGCCAAACTTTGTTGCAGTAAGCGTCAGACAAATGAAATGTTTGACCAAACGCCAAAAACAATTTAAATTTTGGTAAATTTTTAGTTTACCAGTAGTCAACAATTAAAAGTATATAGCAGCGACACTAAAAGGAATCTACAAAGTATCGCATCCACTTTATTTATTTATAATGCATGCACACTGTTACGTATATTTTTAAAAAATCATGAGGTAATTCGATATTCAATGGAATTTTTATAATGCGAATTTCAAATTTGCAGCCGTCAGCTTAAAAGTCAATCAACTCTAAATATCTTAAGCAGAAATGAAGAAAATTAAAAAAGTTTAGCTTTCGTAAATAAGTTTATTAAATGATTAAGTATGAGTATTGATCAAGAAGTTTTGTTAAGATATTGTAGCATTTTTCATACTGTGTATTCTCGTAATGTTTTTATAATCATAATAGTTTAAAGAAATATATGTAATTTTGGTAAATACTGGACATCAAACACTGTAAGTATAATTTTCTGAACGGTATTCCTGCATATATAAAAAAATGTACTAATATTTTTTCCTGAGACATTAAACTAAGTAGTCGATAACAAAAGAAAAAATATGGAAACAAAATTCAAAACCTTTAACTTTTCTAATTACTGTTTACAAAGTTTGCACTTTCATAATGTGTGCTTAAATTACGCACTTTTGTACATCGTCAAAGAATTAATTAGGTATGTATAGCTAATTGGAAAAGGATTTAAGTTAAGAACAATAAAAAAAATATATAAAGCTTTAAAGTGTTGCATAAAATATTGTAATGTATCGCCCGACGGTATACATCAAAATTTCTGTTATCAAATTTACAAATTTTTCTTAATAAAAAAAAATTGTACGATGTGTGACGAATAGCAGAAACATTTTTTGAAAATAAATGACAATTAAAACTGATGCAGGTAAGTCATCATGTTAAACAGCTCAGAAATAATGCTGATAGTGATAGAAGTAGCTGTCTATATTAAATATACATAAATATTCTTAGCCCGTACAGCATGAATCGCATGCACCTGGTAATATCCTGTATTGAGTAGATTTTCACAAAATCAGTTATTCCTCATTCGACCCTTGGTCAAAATATAATTCAAAAATAAATTAATTAATTAATTAGAAAATTGTAATAACATTAAATATTTTATTTCGATAGGTATAGTTCGCCTGGTAATAAAACAATTATGTCTGCACTTATGTGTCTATACCTATGGAGAAATAATAAACGTAGTATTTAAAAATTATTTTCTGGTTGTTGTAACCCATACCTACATTTAGTCACTTTTATGTATTTGTTCCGTCAAAATAGCTCCGCACAAACAAGTCCTCGACAAAATAACGTTATGGATCTGTCAGATCGTGCATCTATGTTTCTAAAAAATTGTTTATAATAATAAAAGAACACATTTGACCTTTAATTTTAACTATCGTAGTAGTAAAAAAAAGAAGTTGTAACTGTATTTTGAAACTTAACTCAAAATTTTGCCAACATTTTAAGCTAAAAAGCTATAAGTAGGTACTATAAATTTGGACAAAGGTTGTCAATACACTGTTAGTCATGGATGTTTAAATTATGTAATTATTATTTATTTACAAATACCAGCTGGTTTTTTAAGTAAACCAGGCAGGCTAAATTAATAAACTATTGACAGCACAAGAAGAAATTTCGCTGTGGTCACAGTTGCGGTGTTGGATTTTGAAGACAAATTCTACGAATTCACTCAACACAATTTCACTAAGTCAAAGATTGATTCTAGTTGAAAGTCAAAGTAGTGAACTGAAAAAATCTGCCGAAAATTTTGATTACCTATAACCCAGTTATCGTCAACAACTGTGAGAAAACTGGAATGACCAAGTTGCTATTTTGTTATTGCTGAGTTGGTTTTATAAAAAATGTCCACTATACTTATTTAGTAACACATTTAAAATAACATAACCAATAATTGAAGCTATTGGATTCAAACGTTCACTTTTTATTTATTATAAGGCCAACCAATTTTTAAGCTAATTCACAGACGATTGGTTAATAATGCATTATTATTAACTTCTATTGCTATAGTCTCACATTTGAAGGTTTAAAAGGGTCCAAGAAGTTGTTCGGTGGTACCTATATATTAATGTCATTTATTGTCATCATTTAGCCTGTATTAAATATGATGAAATAGATAAAATGTTTTGAAAAATAAATAATCATAATTATTGATAATAATATAACATAAAAATAATTATGAAGTCATTAGATATTGATTTGAAAAAAGGCATACATTTCTCCAATTAAAACCACTTATGAAACTGTTTTGAAAATCTAAGTGCCATTTTGATCTACTTTTGAATAAAAATTAGGCAACAATCACAAAGCTATTGACTAAAAAGCAGTGATAATTTATGAAGACAAATTTGGACTTTGATAAACCCCCGGATTTTCACAGTATTATGTTTTAACCCTCGATTTCCAAACTCTAGAAGTCAAAAATTTGGCAACTGTTCCAAATTCACCATTTCATCTATGTTCACCAACTGACCCATAGTTCAGCGTGAGTCCCAATAACATCAGATATTTTTATGTTCTGGTACGCTTTTATGTTTTTAAGCGTTGAAATTACTTTAATCTAAAGAATAAAGTTATATAGAACCACTCAAAATATTGTTCATTGCTTTAACTTTTCTCAAAATAAACAAGAGAACTTTTCAATGTATCTTTTGCCTAAACTCTTAAGGAAACTCCACTCAAAAACCATTTCTTCACTGCGGTGTTATTTTATCCGGTACATGTATTGGCCGGAGCTATTTTGACGGTGTGGTGAGGAGATCTTTCCAAAATCGCTTGTTACTTATTTCCGAACGTTATCCGCACTGCCCCCAACCTCCCCTACGCATCTCTACCCGAATTACCTTGCTGGCTACTTTTCCTCGTGGTCTTCTTCTCCTTCATCCAGGGGTACTCCGGCACGTTGACCCCCGGCGATCCCATCCCGTGCGGCACGTCCATGGGGTAGCCGGTTCCCGGAGGCGTGTTCTGGGGGCTGATGGAAGGCCCATGGGCCATGTCTCCCGAGAGGTGAGGCAGCGCCGTCATGAACTCCGCCATGGACGGTTGGCTGTTGATGAAGCCCGTCTCGCTGCATCCCTCGATGGGCAAGCCGGGATGCGGCGCCCCGGAGGCGGCGGATACCGCCGACAACCAGAAGCCGCCGCCGCCGCCGGCGCTCTCCGGGCTGTTGGACCTCGTCTTGACCACCACGAAGTCGTCCTCGTCCAAGTGTCCCGTCGGCATCCGGAGCGGGTGTTTGACTCTCATGGACCGCCGCCGCCGCGAACCATCACAATCACTGCCAGTCACTGGACCACTCGCACTACGTCACCAGCGAACCCGCGAAATTCAAGCGCTGCTCGCCAGAAATAGGAAACGATTGTTACGTGTGTGTTCACAGTTACTGTTAGTGACGGTTGTTTTTGTTTCTTTCTCATTGAGGAGGATGATGGCCGGTCACGTGGGCCCGCGCGGGCCAATGGGGACGGCCGGAGCCGCTCCGTGGGCCGGCCGGCTCCGGGAGGCGGGATTTGCGTTAGCGTGACGAGCTGGCCGCAATTACAAGGTAAAAATTATTAAAAAATAAAGGAATACCTGGTTTTGTGGAACGCGTCGAACGCCAAAATCGCCACGGCTCAAATTACACTCGGACAAATTTTATGCAAATTAGTGCCCGGTGCGGGGGAAAACACGGCCACGACCACGCCGAAAATTCGAAAAAAGTACATCGAGATAAGTGTTGTGTGAGTTTATTGCAATGTACACGTCACGAACAAGAATGGTATGCACCGCGTGCTCGCCGATGCGCTGTTAAATACCGAGGGACGTCGAGCGTCGTGGCGCTGACGACGCGCGCTTCTGAAATGCTGCTGGAGGGGCGTAAGTATCTCTTATCATTTGATGTTCCTTTACATCTTATTCTTAAATATCAATAATGCCGTCATCAGCTGACGGAGACGACGACGTTTCGGACACACTCAACATACTGACTCACATTTTAACCGCAAAAGCGAAAAGAAATGTTTTCAAGCTGTTAAACACATCGACGTCGAAGGAATTCGCTTCCACGGTGAGGAACAACTTCGGACGAAGAATATCTTATATAGTTTTGTTGTTCTTTTACGGTTTTCTGAGTTTTACTGCGTCTCGACTATAGTGGTTGTTACGCATTGAAATTACCTACCGCCAATACCTTTGTAGTCATATCATACCTACGCAGGCCGTTATTATTTGTTTCACGTATTGGTTCTAGGTAATAATTATGAAAATTATCATAATGATGGCACATAGGTAGTAGATATGCGCTTTGACCCCGCATGAGGTAAGTGTGGACTGTGAGAAAAAAAATGTAACCAAATATTATTCTAAATACTTACTTTTTGGATTTCTTCAAATCTTTCTCAGTTTCGATTGAATTTTTTTAGTAAAAGTTATAAGTAAATAAGATTTACTTACTGTGTGTTCTTGATTACCTGCCACGTCTGTAGTGTAGTTGAATTTATACTTGCAGTGTGTACCTAGTTAAAACCATCCAATTTATTGTAAGTAGGTATGAGGTTAATGCCGCATGTGGCGAAAATTCTACTAAGTACTCTAAAATAAAATTGTATAAGATTTTTGTGCAAAAATTTAAAAAATCATTTATCAACGTTTCAAAACTATAATAGACAGGTAAAATGGAATTAATGTGGTTTATTAATCGGGCGTAAACCATTTATAATCTGTTTGAAATAAAAATAAATAAAAGTTGCTTATGTTTTTCAGACATAAAACAAGTTCTGTTAGAACTAAAGGTGTATAAGTATAAGTAATACTTACATAAGACATGTTTTTTATCATACGAATTGAATCATTAAAAAAATTGCTAAATATTTGGCAAAGTATAGGAGTATAAAAAAGAGTAGGAGTATAAAAAATGTAGGTATACCTATACCTAACTAGCTAAGTACCAATTTTAGAATTCTAAATTAAATTGTTAATTTCTGTATTTTGATAGATAAATTAGATAAGTCATAATGAAATGCATTAACTGTGCATTATTTTAGCGTTTTGGTGAATGAAAAATTTAGTAATTTTATCTTTTGGGAGGACTTTTCGTATATTTTTTGTACAATTAGCTTCAAAGTCAGAAAATGATAATAAGATAAGAATGATAATTGATAGTTAATAATAAAATGATAAGTGTAGATAATTTATAAATTATTTCATGCAATTTAGAAGGACTCGAATACAAAAAAAATGGGCTTTATAGAAAAGTAAAGTCTAAAGTTGGACATGCCACTTTAGAGTACAATTTTGATAACTAACTTTACACAAATTTTTAATTGAATGTATTTAGTTAATAAGATTCGCGACTTGAACATTTATAGAGTAAACTTTTGATTAGAATGTTTTTATAACTTTTTGATTTGATGTGTACCTACTTATCTTCACAACTATAGGTATTCCTCTAGACAATTGTATTAAAACTACTCCCCATTATTATTTACAACACAGAGGAAATAAGGAATGAAATATAATAAAAGAAATAATAATAAATTAGAGTAATAAAATAAACCAATACACTAACTTTTAATTAAACTTTTATCGAACATAAAGTTGAATTTGAGGCAAACTTCACGGGACTCAGTAGGTACTGAAATCTTTTGTGAACAATATGAAATTACTACGGTCGCGATATTTTTTTTTGTAATTTGTGTTTCAGTGTTCTGTTACAGCTTTTGACAATTCATTTTCTCTGTCCACTATGAAAAAGAATCAAACAACAAGAACTAAATTTAAAAATGTCTTGTTTTTTTGTTTATAAACGTTTCTTCCTACTCCATCAGGAAATATATATATTTTTTAAGTTAAACTGCTATAGACATATTCTTAGAACTTAGCTCACATTAAAGCGATTAAAATATATTTTAATATGTCGAAGGTTGAAAAAAAAATTCAATTTTTTTACTTTAACATCAGTGTAACAACATAATAAAAACTTGAAAATACATTATTTTAATTACGACTAAATTCAATGTCAAACAAGTATTGACAGTGAAAAATGTTTATCTTTTGGGCAGAAATCTTTTTTTAACGATACGGATTCTGTAAATAAGACTTTTTTATGCTGTTCAATATGGTTAAAGATATTACGAGTAGGTATTATGTTCAGTTTTCTGACATTCAACATGAAGGTTAACTAAGAGAGGCGTTAACGAGGCATTATGACGCACTATAACCATCATAAAGATTTTTTCTGGCCAACGACGCAATTTTTTTTTTAAATAACAATGTTTTCATGTCGAAAAATATATACCTACCTATTAATAGGATCAATGAAAAATTTAGAACTCAAAAATTGCAAAGGAAAATTAAAAAATTGATCCAAAACTTTTCGACAGAACTTTTCTCCTTCATAGGGTATAATAAATCATATCCAGATTTTTTGAAAAATTATGAAATTTTCTTTAGCGCGTTATATTATTATTATTTTTTTTTTATGAAAAAGGCTATAAGTTATAATAAATATACATATGTATGTAGTATTCAAGTAAATGTAAAGAAGCGTGCTAGGCCTGTTTCAAATGAATTTTTCCTTTACAAAATTTTCTGATGAAAGCATCAACATTTTTGCAAGGGTATGTGTAGTAGCCCAAAACTATAAGGTTATATGACCATCATAAAAGTAGTTGACCACAAATAAATACCCCCTTTTTATGGTACGCACTAAGCTTACCGGTTTGCAATAAATCGTCTTCTAAACATTTCTTGCTCACATTTAACAGGGCCGGCTTTCAAAACAACTGGTTATTTAGGAACCCTTTGTGGCTGCAGGTAGTAGTAGTAGTAGTAGGTACTCAGATATTTAGTGAAAGCCACCCCTGAACAAACCGACAGCAGCCGATCAAGCTGCAGAGGACACGTTATTTACGACTTTAAAACCTTTTCTATTGTAAACAACTTAACTTCGACACAATGGGATAATTTTATGATGGCCATATAACCTTATAGCTTTTGGAATACTTTATATCAATTTGGGTAGGCGCACTGTAATATTAATAATAATAGCAGTATTGTATTCCGAAAATATCGGGAAAATGAAGTGAGCCGTTCCTAATTTAATAATAAAATGAATCAAACCGGTTAAAATTTAAAGGTTGTTAAAAAATAAATAGCCAACCAGATTTACGAATTTAACTCGTTACTATGGAAATTTGCAATTTAACACCCTTTAAATTTTGATGGCGATGACTAGACAAAGTTTGGTTAGCGTTCTACCATCCTTATGATATTTATAATACACATATAAAATTTGACAACAATCGGTGCGGTAGTTTCCGAGATTATTTGTCTAACAAAAATTCACAAGAACGGTGGACGGACAGACAGACAGAAACGGGAGACCTTTGTCTTTCAAAATGTAAAAGTAGCCAGTCGCCCGATGGACAATACTTCCTTAGCTTATTCTGTAGAAGTAAAAAAATCACAAATTACTTTTAGATGTCAAATTATATCTGAAGAAAGTACTGTGTCATTCAAAGGGGTTGTTTTAATTCGTTTATTTTTTTGACTTTTGATTCTCATGCAGTAACAAGAAGTAGTTTTCCGTTTCCCTCTGATGTTCTTGGGGATAGAAATTAATGTATTTGATATATTATTATGTGTACCTACTTTAAGTTAATTTATTGAAGATGGTAAAACCTTGACCAAAATTTGTCCATTAATCTCAACAAAATATGATTAATTTATTCCATAACATTATTGATAATAATTCATAATTGATTTATGCAGCATCGTGATATGCTAGTTGATCTGCGGTTTAATCCCCTTTACCTTTACAAATTACCCTAAAAATATTAAACAATATCTACTAAATACCATAGAAAGTCAACAAAAATAATATTTGTATATTTATCTCTTTCGGAAAGTTTAAGTTAATTAAAAAAATATATTAAATAGATATTATTACATATTTTAAATGGTATGTTACTCTTGTTATTTTGGTGTTGCTTATCTTAAAGACACAATTTAATTAAAAAAAAATTGTTAAATCACTTTTTTAATATTGTTTTAAGAGATCCATTACATTAATTAAGTACAATAATTTTAATCTTTATGTATATGACCTAATATATACACTGTTTAATGTTTATTCTTTAAAAATGTCTTAGAAATGAAAAGAAAAGTATAAACAGTTTTACCCACTTTTTTCATTATTTATTTTTAAAAAGGGTAAAACAAAACATACAATCGACTCTTTGAGAACTTTGCTCATTTTGGTCGTTTTATCTAGTACGAATATAATCTTTTTGTACGGTTATTCACTTGGATGAGTTTTACACGAATATAATAGTTATATTTAAGCTCC